TTCGAAGTAAAGACGGGAGTAACACAGGGCTGCCTACTATCTCCAATGATTTTCCTGATTGCAGTAGACTGGATAATGCGACAGAGAGACAGCGGGCTGCGAGGAAACAGGCCTAAAATGGACTCACACAAAAAACTTGGAGGATCTGGACTTCGCCGATAACGTATGTCTGATTCCCCACAAACTGGCGGAAAGCAACAAGTTGGCAGAAGAAGCATCAAAGATAGGACTTCAGGTGACATAGAGAAAACAGAGGTGATGAAGATTCCTGGCCAACAGCAACAACAACAACAGACAACAATAAGCATAAGTGGAAGGAACCTGAAAGAACCAACCTCCTTCACCTACCTAGGAAGCATCGTTTCAAATACAGGCGGAACTGATAAGGATATCAAGGCGAGAATCGGAAAAGCAAGACAAGCTTTCACTACTCTCAAGTCTTTGTGAAGGTGAACAGCACTCATCATGAGAAATAAGATCCGGATTTTCAACTCCAATGTGAAGTCAGTGCTACTCACTATACAGATCAGAGACTTGGCCAGCGGGTCATAAAGAGCATCTCAAACAAACTACAGACCTTCATTAACAGTTGTCTTCGTTCAATACTCAAGATCAGATAGCCAGCCAGAAAAGATCAGCAACAGGGATCTCTAGCGAAGAGCGAACCAACCCAGCAGGAACCGATTGTGAAACAAATAGGCAGGAAGAAATGGAGGTGGATTGGCTGGTCATACTCTGAGGAAACATTCCACCAAGTGACATCACTAGACAAGCCATTGCTCGAGTGGAAGCTGAAAGGGAAGCGGCGAGTTGGTCGTCAGTGCAAGGGTGACTTGGAGGAGGTCATATGAAGAGGAGATAAAAGCGTATGGGCAGACTTGGAGACAGGTGAAGACTCTAGCAGAGAACGGAAAGCAATGGAGACGCACGGCTGAAGCCCTATGTTCCTCTAGGAATTAAAGGAAACTTAATATAATAATAGAAATACGCTGCTTACCAGGAAACCAAGTAACTTAGCGCTTTTTATCGCAATCATATTGGGTCATACGTTTAATGGAGCACATACTTAGGCTGAAATGAGGCAGATCAGTACTGTACAGATACTTGTATATAATTATATACTACTGATTGATTGATATGAGTAGCTGGATACTACTCACATCAACCAGTAGTAGTGTTTGCCTAGCCAGACTATTGAAATGATCTAACCGCTGAACGGCTGTTTTTCTTGTTTAAAGCCGAACTCATCAAACGGATGCTTGATTTTCACTCATCTCAATCAAGTATTGGTTTTGTAGGGATTTTATTTGATTGATTGGTTGGAGGATTTCATCATGAGCTGACATCAGTTAGAGAACCACTTGAAAACCAACTGGGAGTACTGGACAGATGTTTCGTCCAAATATGGGACTATTCGTCAGTATGCACTCACCGGGCGTCGAACCTAGGACCTTTGTAGACCATTGAACCACTGGGACCCGATCTAATGGCTAGTCCATGAATTCTAACTTCTGCCAATTCATGACATAGCGCGACCATTTCGCAATGTCTTCTTCGATGAGTTACTGTCTGATCTTCAACCTGCTGTACCCTACTGTTCACGACTTCCCACTAGAACCCCAGATCACACTGCTTGAATAGGGCCAGTCGCTAGTAAGCATCAGATTAATTTTCAAGCCGAATCAGTTCAAACCACCATCCCCACCACCACCTGATGTCTAATTAGCCACTTGGGTGAACTGATGACAAACATTAAATCAAAGCCACAATTTGCAATTTAGTTCACCATTTTTTAAAAATTAATTCGTGACTGATACATTCCGAGGACATTATTTCATTATTTTTTTCCATGAAGCATGAGTATTCCGTCGATATAGATGATGAACTACACGGAATTTAAGCATAGGAAGGGAACTAATAAGCAACATCCAGTGTAAGAAATGACATTTGAGTGTTACAAAAATACACTAGAAAACCTTCAGGGAGTACTGGACAGCTGTTTCGTCAGCCTAGTTTGGGAGTCTTCATCGGTACGCACCCACAGGGGTTCGAACCCAGAAACCTTGTAACCAGAAGGTCCCGGGTTCGAACCCCAGTGAGTGCGTACTGCTGAAGAGTTCCAAACTGGGCTGACGAAACAGCTGTCCAGTACTCTCCCAGTTGGTTTTTCAGTGGTTCTCTAACTGATGTCAGATCATGATGAAATCCTCCAACCAATGAATCAAATAAAATCCCTACAAAACCAATACTTGAAAAATACACTAATTAAAAGTGAAATAAATAAAAGAATTCTGATTCGTGGTAAGACTCCAACCAGCAGCCTCTGAATTCATTGAAAATCCATCTCTTTACCACATGGTCTAGATACAGGCAATATTTCTAGCTGTCATGGGAATCAGTGGCATGTGAATGTGACCGTTTATTATCCAACCAACAGCTGCTTGCTAGCTACGACGTCTCTCTTCTTTTGTCAGTCAATCCTAATCACACGGGATTCGAAAGAGAGCAGTCGATTGTTAATTGACATTTAGGCTATCTGAGGTATCCTTTGAATTGTTGGTATGAGATGGTTGGAGGCAATCGGCCACAGGAAGCCTTGGACCTAGGTTTCGTGCTAGTTGGCACTCATCAGCAGGGCGTATCTGCAACCTTGAATGAACTCACATCCCTTCTGAGATTCGAACCAGCGTCACCCAGTACTGCAGTCAGAGACGTTACCACTGAGCTATTCAGGCTCGTGACTGACCTCCTCCTGACTGACTGTATTGGATATTTTTGATTGCACACTAGTCAGTATCTAGTGTAATGTGTCTAGTCCTACAATGGTGGCCAAATATTAAATTTGACTGATACAATTCACTCTACACCAAAAATAGGACTAGACACATTACACTAGTTACTGACTAGTGTGCAATCAAAAATGAGGTGTCCTTTAGTATTGATGTAATGGATGATAGTTATAGGATTCGACCGACTACTTACTGGTCTCTGAATTACTAGTCTGACGGTCTACAAGCTAAGCTAAAAGACCCAACTACCAAAATACAGTCACCGTGAGTGTTGTTCAGTTGTCATATGAATGAGTCATCTCATCCAAATCTACACTGTCATATTCAAAGTAGCCAAAGAAATCTCTGGAACGAATAATTCCCTTTACATGACTAACACATGCTAACGTATAGTAATCAATGATTATTAGTTATATTTCAGGTTAGATCAGGAAGGATTAGACAAAAGTTAAAATTTATGAGGCATTGGATTACATCCCAGTGCCTGAATGGTCGACGGGCCCGTACCTCGTAACCTTACAGGTCATAGACTTAATGTCTTCCGTTAATATCATGGCTACGTACTACTGAAGGGTGTCAAATTTGGATGAAACATCCGTGCAGTACTCCTTGGTTTTTAATGGTTCTCTAACAAACCAATCTCAGTTCTTGATCTATTCCTCAGATACCGAGTGTAACACCACCAAGCTTCAGGCTTGGAGTCTTGAAATTTCAGTAGCCGTGGTATTTTTATTTTTATGGGATAAGAGTGCAGTGTCAAGCTCAACCAGACCTCTTTCCCAGGTTACACTATGCACTAGTAAACTAAACAAGGTCTGAGAACCTGTTTGCCCGGGATTCGAACCCCTAGGCCACTTGCTTGCTTGGCAATCGTAGCATAGAGAGACACTGACGCACCTCGGTCGGTCGGTCGGTGGGTTTTCAAAATAGAACTTTGCACGTATGTGCTGCAGTTTAAGTCGCCACACTCTACTCCTTGTAGCACACAAAGCAAGAGAAGAAAGTAGGAGAAATGCATATTAGAGACAGTAAACAGAAGTGTGAGACAAAGGAATAGTAATAACGAAGAACAAAACAGTTTCATTGGAAATCATAAGTCACAAGGGTGGATGCATCTGCGCCACCCATTGAGAACGATTTTGAGCCGTGTCACCAATTGTTTCCAACCATTGGTTTTTACCGTCCCGAGGACCTCAACCAGAAAGTCTGCACCTTCCTACGTGGCCTAGACTAACTGTTGTAGATTCCATTGACTGGTACCATGTTTTCGTTTGACCGCCGCTAGCTCTTTTCCAACCTGACCCTATATCAGCTAACATTGCCCGTCTGTCGAGGAAGGCGGTGGATGGCTAGGCATACGTAACACATGCTCTAACCATCTCAGTCGAAGTAATTTCACCGTTTCGTCGATTGATTTCCCCTCCTTACCTAGCACTTGACGCCTAACCTCAATATTGCTCACCTTATTATACCACTTCACGCGGGAGATAGAACGCAGACACCTAGGACCGAACACAGCTAATCTTTCCTGTCTTCCGCTCTCAGTGGCCAGATCTCACAACCATAAAGGAGGACGGAGCGAACTGATGAGCAGTACACACGCCATTTGGTCGATAGTTGGATATCACGCCTACTAAGCCAGAGACGGCGCAAACTGGCATATGCGAAACTAGCCCTCTGTATCCGTGCTAAGGGCTAATATCTTCAGTAGTTAGACAGAATAATTCCAAGGACTCCACTCTAAGGGTCTGTTGTGTACTGACACAGTCGACACAAACATCCCGTATCTTATTGGACTACATCCTCCTTCCGCTTCTTCCAACTGGTCTTAGGGAGCCTAACCAACTAGTGACTGGTATCAAATCATTGATATATACGTAGAGTTCACGGAAGACGATACACTGGAGTGAGCACACATACACACACCTCTTAATAAGAAAGACCACAACTAACTGAATTTTAGATTTTCCTATCGATTGATTGGACCGAGGCTCGAACCCAGTGCCTACAGTTTCAAACGCCAAAGCCTCGGTGGGAACATCATCACTCACTGAGAAATGCAGGTACATCCAGTTGACGAGTCCCAAATAGGACGAAATGCGCGTTGTCTTGGATTCCACTCCTAGTCACCATCCACCAATTAAAGGCCACAACTGTTGCTATCCTTTAACCATATTTGCTTATCTATCTTTTTCCTTCTCCCTCTTGTAGATTAACACTAATGAATATGTGTTGGGAAATGGAAGCAGCTAAAAGGCCAACATTTAATGAGATCTTATCCAATCTAAAGCCATTCATATCTGTTTAAGTTGAATGTGTCATTTTATTAATTAACACAATAATGATGTAAAGGAAGAAACGTCAATTTATATAATTTGTAATGCAGGTAATCCAATTTATTGATGTTACTATTATTATTAATCTTATTCAACCCGATAATTCCTCCTCCATATCTTGACAATATTTTTCTTTATCTGAACTGTACTCAATAAGAACAAATTAGTTCAGCGAAGAGTCTCTTTTCGGCGAATTCATTCACTTAGCTGTACAATCGCAAATATATATGGTTATTTTGTGTGTGTGTGTGTGTGTGTGTACATTAGGTTTGTCAAAATCAAAATAACAGTTAGTGTGGGTTGTTGTTGTTGATTACATCATCAAAATAATAAAGAAATTAAAATGTGTGATTAATAATCAAAGTTGTAACTAAGTGGGGTGAAGATTAGTAAGATGTGAGTAGGGTTACGTAATATAGACATGTTTAGAGAGATTAGATGTTAGTGAAGGAGTATGGAGACAATTATGAAAATAAACTGGATAATAGGTGAAAAGATTGAATGGGTTAGTTACTAAACATTATTATACTTAATAAAGCTGTTGTGCTCTCAAAATGGGTTCACATTGGACTATGTGGCGATTAGTTGCTCCTATTTAGTTTTTGTCATACTCTTTTTGTTTGATTATATCTTGAAACCACACAGTATTTATGGTACAAGTATGGAATTTTCAGCATGTGATATCGGTAGCCCAAATTTTTCAGGCCAACCATTGATATCGGGTGTGCGCCGGCAGGGGGTCGAACCCCGGACCATGTGCATGGTCGGCGAGAATCCTAGCCACTGTGCCACCGACGCACTTTTTAACATTTGAAATAATTTAGTTATCATTTCATGAAAGTGATTGGTAATCTGCATCAGCGCCGTGGGCACTAGCTCAAAGCTTTGTCAACCTTATTCATCAGTGATACCATGATGATGATGATGATGGCATATGCCAAGTGTGATTCACAATGGAAATAAATAAACTCAGTGAGACCGTTTGAAGTGATTAGTGACTACACGAGTAAGACAACAAGGCTTCGCATTACTATCAACGAATAAGGTGAACTAGATTATACGAAAGGGAGTTGTAGGCAGCAGGAAGACAGTGATAGGTGTTGAACTGACAAAAATACTCAAGAATATCTAAACTTTGCAGTGGATGATCTATGCCTAATGTCACACACACAAACTCGACAATCTACAGGTGAGAAAACCAACAGGTTGGCAGAAGAGGCTGGCAGCCAAGACTGAACTTCAAATGAAATTAGAGGGAACAGTGGTGGTGAAGATACCTAACCAGCAACAACAATAACAACAAGCGCCCCAGTATCCACCGACGGAAAGGAAGGAAGCCGACTGTATCATATGCCTAGGCAGTCAGTATCTTTTCAACTACAGTGGGGGCTGTACAGATGCGGGTGTCAAAGCCAAGCACGATGGGAGAAGGAAGTCAGCCCATCATTAATCTGCTGTATACGCAGCATAAGGAATAAGACCTGCATTTTCATCAATAATGTCAAGTGTCAGTGAATGCTTCTATACAGTTCAGAAACTTGGCGTGTCTGGTCATCAGCTTCCCATATCTTTCCACATTGAAGATCATATGACTGGCAAGAAGGGAAAAGCAACAAGGAACTTTGGAAGCGAACCCACTAGGAAACGACGAACTGTGGTGTAGGTTCAAAGAGGAGATTGTAGCTTATTGCGCAAATGTACCGCTGTAACAACAGAAGACAAGGGCCAGGCAGCAGATCGTTTATTTAGGAAATCGACATATATTTATAGATTTTCAGGTACATTTTTATACATTATTGTAAGCAAACAAAAACAGCCTTCTGATTGGTGGTGGTTTCTCGCTGAACGTTAATCTTTCGTCTCTTTGTGGGCGTTTATTGAAGTTCAGATTATCTATCTGCAAATTGTATCTGCCTACGCAAAGTCTGCTGTGATTGGTTGTTGAATCAGTCTTTGTTCTTATTTTTCCCACAACCAATATTGGGGACGTAAACATTGACGTAAATTACACTGTCTACCAATTTGGCTAGCGGCCAGCTCTCACCACACCGCCAGCTAAAAGGACCGTTGAGAACAGAGTGAGGCGGAGGTGTGCTTCTAATGGTATGTGTTCCACTCGGAATCCAAGAGACTATCTGATATGGTGTTGAGTTGGCAGACTGTTATCGATGTTACAAGTGATAGGTAATTATTAAAGGTGGAATTACAAAATCTGAATCGCGACACAATTCGAGCCAGCTGCCTCCGGACTACTATTTCAACACTCCGTCAATTGATGGGCTATGTGACCTAACTACTAACCAGGTCATCATTACAGTCACATTCTCTCTACATAATAAACTAATTTATTGCTTTGATGTGGAGTAGATCAAGGCATAGAATTCGAACTGCATTTCCAGTATCCCTGAAGGTTAGGCGGTGAAGTCACTGAGTTACATAATCTCCGCCATGATTATTATTGTTCCCTTGGGTTCCTAGTGGAACATAGGGTTTCAACTGCACGTCTCCACTTGCTTCTGTCTTCTGCTGTGCTTTTCACCTGCATCCATGTTAGTCCATACTGTTTCAACTCCTCTTCACACGATCTACTCCATGTCACCCTTGCAATGACGTCCCACTCGCCGCTTCCTTTTCGGGTTCCACTCGAGCACTGGCCTGACTGACGCGCGATGTCACCCAGTGGCCTCCTCAGCGAGTGTCCAATCCATCTCCACTTTCTCCTGCATATTTGTTGAGCGACTGGTTCTTCTTTTGTTTGTTCCCACAGTTTCTTGTTGGTGATTCTTTCCGGTGTCCATCTGATCTTCAGTATAGAGCCAGCGAAGACAGTTGTTGATAAAGGTCTGCAACAGGCTGTTGGAAATATTCTTTGTGACCCGCCAAGTTTCTGATCCGTATAGAAGAACTGACTCACTTGACGTTTGTATTGGAAATCCGAATTTTGTTGTTGATGCAAGCTGAGTGACGAAGATTTCCAGATTGGTTTCAGGTTGATGAATGTGTTTCTCGCCTTCCCGATTCTCGATTTGACATCTTCGTCCGTTCCTCCTGTAGTTGAGACAATGCCCCCTACCTAGATAAGTGAATGAAGTAACCTCTTTCAAATCCCTCCCGTTGATGGTGATTGGCGCTGGATGTTGCTGCTGTTGATGTATATATGACATCTTTTAGCCTACATATCTTATCCCTAATTGAGTTTGTAAGTTTAAATACTACCCTTATTCCTGCTCTGCTAAGAATCCTACGTAGGGTTTCAGACATCCCCTTATGTTTCTTTCTTTATGCTGTGGTTAATTTTTCGACTACTATTTTTTCCTTTTCTCGTGATCTTCCTTGATTTCCCTAGTGAATTTCATTGGATAGTTAGTTATTTAACCCCAACACTTCTTCTCCCTCTTCTATCTGTTTCATTTCATCATTTAGGTTTTCTCTTGTACTACTTAGTGCTATTGCTCGGTTTGTTAGATCCACACTTAACTAAGCCTGTCTTTACAGATAACGCCTGATATGATGAATTAAAGTCTAAATATCTATTAGCAGAATGCATTGGATTTTTATAAACGCTGGTGTGCAATTTATCTTCTTCTGTTCGTTTTAGTTTACAAATCAACATCATTGCTAATTCTCCTTGTTCATTTGTCGATTCAAATGTGAATTCTATTCCCTTTACTAGTGAATTAGAGAGAGAGATGCGCTGTTTTCAACACTGTGAAAGTGTCATCCGCATATCTCCATCATATTTTTGGAGTAGGATTAAAAGTATTAGGAGTTATATTTTCCCAGATATCCATAAAGATATCTGCTACGATTGGAGATATTGGTGACCCATCCCATTGCTACACTTTCTGTTTGTCTATATATTTTGCCTGCACAGCTAACTGTTTCTCCCTAGTACGGGACTCTTCAGAAGGACTCACCCACCACCAGTGTTCGAACCCAGGACCCTTCTGGTTACAAGGCGATCTCGTAGAGAGACTATTCATCCACTGTGGTACCTGACCCAATGGCCAGTGCATAAATTCCAACTTCTGTCAATTCACGATAGAATGCTACTCCACTGACCAATGTCATCGGTAGCAAGAATTTCTGTCCTCACACACCACATAAAAATGAAATTTATGTAGGAAAAAAAAAGAATGATTACATAGAGAAGAATGATTGTGGGTTTTTTGCAAATCTCGAAGTTCACAATGCATCGTGGATGAACTAATGCCTATTGAGAAGAAATTTGAGCCAATATCAGCGACAGTCTCAATGCAGCGGATGAATTTTTAACTAGACATAATGAAGACTCCAGGTTACCACGGATTTTCTGATTAACTCTTTCATTCGACTAGCAAAGACTAGATTGAATATGAAGTACTGTCAATTTTAATGAGGAATTTTTATTGTGTGAAATCAAGTTTGATCACAGAACAGCTGTTTCTTCCCAGCTTGGAACTCTTCAGTAGTACGCACCCATGATTCCACTTGGTTTCAATCTCAGTACCTTCCAGTTGCAAGGCAAGCAGCATGTAGACCATTCAGCCATAGGGATGTAAGTGATCAAGTGACTCAATGAAATCTAACTTCTGTAAATTCGTATGAAATCAGTTATAGGGAGACATACTCACCACCACTGAGATGATATTGAAGTGCATTGGTACCAATATGGCGAAGTTCAACAATAGTGTCCCAAGGGATTTTGTAATTTTGATTATAGTTTGAAACTGCACAGTATTTTTTGTACAAGTATGGAATTTTCAGCATGTGATATCGGTGGCCCAAATTTTGCAGGCCGACCATAGATATCAGGTGTGCGTCTGCAGGGGATCGAACCCCGGACCATGTGTATGGTCGGCGAGAGTCCTAGCCACTGTGCCACCGACGCATGAGTGACCTTCAGTCGACCAAGCATAATAATAAGTGACTTTCTCACAAAAAATGACGTATATTTACAATAAAAAAATGCATGAAAACACATAAAACAGGG